TCCTACTTCCGTAGTGATACTGCCTCGGGAACCCAAGGAGGGGTCGCTGTGAGTCGGGCACATAACAACAACAACAACAAGTGATTCTAATGTGAAATCATCTTGAGAACCACAACTCTAAATCTTTCTTCCACAATTAAAGATCAAAGTTTATTAAATCAGCAAATAAATGCTTGGGAATGTTTTCAAAGCAAAGGAAGGAAGGCGCCTACCATTATAGAACACCTACTGGGTGCTGACTTTTGATGTGCCTTGACAGACAGACACACACACACACATATACACACATGCATACACACAAAGGCTTGGAAAGGGGAACATGGAACATAAAGAAGCTGAAGTTGGCATTGAGTTTGAAGGCAAGACCTGGCATGCAGCTTAGCCTCGGGCTGGCCCTTCAAAGACACAATGAACAGAGCCCAGATGCTCTTGGGGGTGAGGGGGACAAAATATGGGATGGAATTCCTAGGGAGGGGGAGACTAGCATTAATTTTACCTGTACCTAAAAAACTTTGTCCTTCCTTCTCTCCTTAGATTTGTTAGGGGAACACTTACCCCAAAAGCTTTCTAAAACTGTGTGTGTGTGTGTGTGTGTGTAGGGGCTGAGGTGGTAGGGAACCATGAAAGGCTGTTTGCATAACCAGCGTGACTGAGAGAATTGACAACACTGCTCTCATCCCCACCCCCATCCAGATTTTGCCTCAAGGACACAGGTAACTCATGTTAACAAGACATATTTGCAGACTGATGACATTCCATGGCTCTGTCAAGTTGAGATAATTTGAAGGCAGCTACATTCTTGAGGAAAATGCTTCTGCTTCCTCTCCAGGCCCTCAACCACCTAACCTCATCCCCTCCCACAGCAGGAGCCTCTGTATAATGGGAAGCCCCTTCCTTACCATGTCCTTAAAGCCTCCAAGCACAGCAGCAGTGATGATGCCCAGGAACAGACCAACAATGTTGAGGATGGTAGCGGACCAGAGCAGGTGGTAGAGGTGGATGATGTCTTGGCAGCTGCTGACATCGATGTATTCGTAGTACCCGCCAGTGATCTCCACTCGGCTGCATAGGGAGGAGGACAACCCCAGTCAGTCCCCAGGGAGCAGGCTGGCCTCTAAGGCTTTGGCTACCATGCAGCTCGGCCAAAAAGACAGGTGGGCAGGTGGGGAACAATCATAATGGACATTACAGCCATGTGTACACTTTGGGGAGCAAGACACTATCAACTCAAAGTGTATTTATTGAAAACCAAACAAACTTACCTGTCAGAGAAACACTTGTTACCAGCACTAACACTTAATCATAAATACGCTTACTGACCCTTGCTATGTGCCAGGCACTGTGTATGCACTTTACATGTGTGAATCCATTGAATCTGTGCTGTCCAGTATGGTAGCTACTAGTCACATGTAGCTATTGAAATTTAAATTAATTAAAATTAAGTAAAATTTTAAAAATTCAGTACTTCAGCCTCACCAACCACATTCAAGTGCTTAATAGCCACATGTGGCTAGGTGGCTACTGTACTGGACAGAACAGATTATGGAACATTTCCATCATTGCAGACAATTCTATTGGATAGCACTGCAAATGCTAACAATACCTCCATGAACTAGATACTATCACTCTTTCCATTTTGCAAATGAGAAAACCGAAGCACAGTGAAGTTAAGGAACTTGTCCATGTCAGAAGTGGTAGAGCCAGGACCTGAATTCAGGCTTCAAAGGCTTCAGTGTCTCCTTTCACTCCACACACACACACAAAAAAGACAACAAACAAATAAAAATCAATCCCCCCAAGGAGCTCTGGTGATACAACTGGTTAAGCACTCAGCTACTAACCAAAAGGTTAGTGGTTTGAACCCACCTGGCTGCTCCATAGGCGAAAGGCCTGGCAATCTACTCCGGTAAAGATTACAGCTTTGGAAACCCTATGGAGCAGTTCTAGTCTGTCACATGGGGTGGCTATGAGTGATAATCGACTGGATTGCACCTAACAACAACGACAACAAAATACACTCACCGCCTACCATAAAAATCCCAAACTCATTGCCACTGAATCAATTCCGACTGAGAGCGATGATATAGGACAGGACAGAATTGCCCCACAGGGTTTCCAAGGCTGAAATCTTCTTGGAAAGAGATTGCCACATCTTTTTTCCCAGGGAGTAGCTGGTAGGTTTGAACTGCCAACTTTTTGGTTAGCAGCCAAGAGTTTAATCATGGTGCCACTAGGCAACACACAGACATAAAAAAATCAATGCCTCAATAAAGAGCTAAAGCTGAACTTCTGGACAGACCTGAGTATCACCTCCTTGGAGAGGCCCTCCCTGACCACTCTGTTCAAAGACATAGCCCAGCCCCACCCTACTCTTTACTCTTTATTGAATTGTTGCAGGTATCAGGATTGGAGGAAGACTTATTAACAACCTGTGATATGCAGATGACACCATCTTGTTTGTTGAAAGTGAAGAGGACTTGAAGCATTTACCGATGAAGATCAAAGTATGGATTATACCTCAACATAAAGAAAACAAAAATATTCACAACTGGTCCAATAAGTAGCATCATGATAAATGGAGAAAAGATTGAAGTTGTCAAGGATTTCATTTTACTTGGCTCCACAATCAATGCCCATAGAAGCAGCAGTCAAGAAATTAAACATCGTATCGCATTGGGAAATCTGCTGCAAAAGAGCTCTTACAAGTGTTAAAAAGCAAAGATGTCACTGACCCAAACCATGGTATTTTCTTTTCTTTTTTTTTAACCTGTAGATGGTATTTTTTTTACTGAAAATGTCAGATAAATAAAATTATAAGCAGTCATTCATGGATAACATAAACTGGAAAATGTGACTATAGTTATATGTTTTTTTTAATTATTATTGTGATTTGGGTGAAGATTTACAGAGCAAATTCACTTTCCATACAGCAGTTCACATATACTTTGTCTCATGTCATTGACCACAG